TCCCAATTAACATTACGTTTTTTTCCTCAAACTATTATCCTTTTTGTAGTTTTACACTAAATTATGTGTTGCTCGCATTTTTTTGCGAACGAGCAGAGTTGGCAGCACAAAGAAGGTAGTGTACAGCAATCTTGAAAACTATACATATGAATGAAAATGGATAACCTACTTCCAAATTTTACAAGTCCAAAAGCATCAATCTTAATAGATGCCCTTAATCGAAATTTTGTACATTTAATTCTCTTCGTTGGCATCTCAGACTTTAAATTTTCGGGGACGGTCCGCGCTGCTGTCATAACTAGAAGAAGGACGCGTTATAACTATTTCCCTCTAGATAAAAAGCCAACTTCACAGGCCAGGGAAACATTCAGTTGTATAAGGATAAAAGTATTCCAGAAGAAAGAATTAATGTGTTTTACCCAAAACAATAAAATTCAGGATATTTAACCTCCATCTAGATTTTATGGTACATAATTTGAACTTGCCTACGAAGTCGTTTCTTATCAAACTAGCGCTAAAGTCTGCGTCGAACTTCTTCCAGTATCGACTAAAAATAGTTGCATGAACTTTCAAGTGAGGTAAAATATTGATAGGAAACAACACTACACGCCATTTCCTGGAAGGTAGACTGGTGGTTTTCAGCTAACCATCTTCCCAACTACCTGTGTGGAATAACCTCAGACAAAATTACCCCTTAAATAGTACTTTTCTATTTATTTCCTGTCTGTATTTAATGGAAAGGGTGAAAGCAGAATTCTGTTCTTGTATTAATTTTATAGGCAACCGAATCTTGCTAGAACTTTCCACTTGGAGGTAATTTTTAAAACATTTGTCATTATGAGCAATTTTAGTACACCGATATGATCGATTGCGTAGGCTATAAGTGCTCTTCACAAAAAATGCAACTCGAACTGCAGTGGTCGCAGTGCCCCAGGGAGGCTTCCGTAAAAAGAAACGCGTAGGTTGTGAGAAATTGTTTGAGAAGGTATACGTAGCAGGTAGTCTGGATTGCACGTGATGTTTTAAAATGAATAAGTGTCTGAAACCTTTTTCTAAAATAGAACCGTTTCTTTCTTTCAGGCACCAAATAAGAAAATAATGTAGCTTTCCTTAAAGTATGCGCAACTAATACCCTTTTCGTCCACCACTGTCCCTCCTAGTAAATATTATTGAAGATTTAAAAGCATCCAAAATAAATGAGCAACGTACGCACTATGAGGCTACTATAATGCGCCTCTGTCATATACTTCACGAAGAGCTGAGAAGAGATCGGCGACCAAAATTTTTAAAAATAGCAACCCAGGATACAAACATAAATGGCGCAGGTGATACAGCAACACTGACTAAACTATAATCTACACTGTCAATAGGAGACCGATTTTACGCCGCCTGCCTAAGTTCGGATGCAGTATCCGCGTCTTGGATGTTAAAACAATTGAGTTATGAAGGAAGCGTAAGCCAAGATGGAAAAAAATTCAGACTTGACAACCCGTGACTTTTCTATTCCGAAATATAACGTAATATGAGTCAGATTCACCCCAGTAATACTTAGGGCCAAGGGGGCATGTGAAAAGTCCCGCAACTTACCACAGAAGTAAATAGTGCCCGTCTTTATGAGAGCCATGAGCGCGGCCTCGACAGCCTGCCGGGGTGGGGGAGAGGCTCGCATGTCGGAGAAAATGCTTGCCAGACAGGTGAGGAGACGACGCTCTGAGCAGGTGGGTTCTGTGGCACTCACCTGACAGATGACCTGGAAGATGATTTCCTCCAGTCGCATGGAGGAGTATTGGGGCACGCTGTTGAGGACCAGACCACTTGCGTCACCTTAAAAATACGGAAAGCAGAGGTCAAGTCAAGCAAAAGGGAACGTCAGTCGAAAACGTTCAGCTGATTGACAAAGCAGATGAAGGAGAACTATCAGACGCATCGGAAGTGCAGACAATAACAGAACACCTGCCCTTGATCCCAACAAAAGTTGCCTCATGTGCGTTTCCAGTGGGGAGTTTCTGATTATTGAAGGGAACCGCAGCCTACCATGGTCTTATACCCTACCTACTGGAGGCCCGTAAATTAACACAGAGGGCGCGAACGCATTATCTTTGTTTTCCCGGTGCGGACAAATTTTCCCACACACTTGGGCATCTTTTTCCTTTACACAATCCTTCTTAGTTCGTATATCATATAAAGATGTATGCAAAGAGCGTACCGTCAATTCGTTAATGTTAAAACCAAGACCAGTTGACTTAACAGAGGACACTAGGTGAGTAGGGAAGCCAAAAGAAATAGCCACAGACGTGAGGCTAGAAGTTTGGGGAGGGAGCAGTTAACATGATCTTTGAGTTGACCCAATTGTGAAAAAACTCGAGGCGAGTGGCATTTGCTAAAGTACTGTATCATTGCGGCGTGGATAAAAAAAACAGACGGCTTTGGACCCCAAACTGACATATCCAACCAGTCGTCCGTGTTCTGTTTAACACGAAAATCGCTTCGTATAGGGAAATTGAGACAAAACAATGTATCCTATAATAGTTGCGGAGACAAAGGCGACCAAAGTAACTACTGACGCGAAGATCGAATGAGAAGATTCTTTAAAGAGCAGATGGTTGGAACTCCTGTGTTCTGTCGCAAGTATTCCAATTCTAGTCATTTGCGCTAGGGGTGAATCAATTTCAATTCGGGCCGGAGCGGGTCTTAAAAACCATGTTTTGAAACCCTTCAAAGTATGCATATTTTGCGATAGCCGAGACGTTGCAGACCATACATTTATAATTACAGTAGCAGATACGCCTACACCGATCTGCTAGAGGACACACTCGTCCGTC